AAAACCTCCGGTTATTATGTTGTGGATATTTCATTTTCCTCTAGTCTCACTCCTGACAAATACGCCCCTTGCTTTTCTCATGGAGCCAGCGATTCCGTTCAGCTGCAGTGTACATGTACCGGTACGTGTGCTTGCCGATCAGCAGCAAAGACATACATCTTTCATGCTGCTATGGACTTGACATCATGTGTTCTTGTGAGCAGAGGGGTCGTGCACCCTCTGGTAAAGCAAGCCATGGGTTTTTTGCCTTTGCCACAGACTTTATCTAAGCATTAAGAAGACAGTGCTGGTAATGCAGTGTTTGCCTAACATGCTTCTGGTGGCAAAACTGCTCTGTCATGCCCTGCCAGCACATTTCAAAGGGGGTACTAGACTTGACAGGATTACGACAAAATATGGAAGGGAGATTTCGGTGAGAGAGTCTGTGCAAGGATACCCAGTGAGTCTAACCCAGTTCTTGGAGAGATTATTGTAACGGGGTTTAGCGCACGCTGCACAAGTCTGTTGTTTCATTGTGAGTCATGTCAAGCAGATGAGGGGGGGTCTTTGACCACGGTGAATCACAGCGGAGCCTCTGCTTTCATATCAGTGCCATGGCAACACAGCTTGCCCCTCATGACCTGCCTGGGGCGGGGAAGGTCCCCACTGACGTGCACAGCTGGTGTTGTCCCCTCAGTCGGCATAGCAACGGACTTGGCAAAGCAGAGATAAGCCCAGATGAAACAAATGCCGTGAAGTGAATGCACATTTAGTAATCTTGTTTTTTAATGCAATTTTGTGAAAGGGATTGAGCCTACAACAAAAAACGGAAGTGTAACAAATTTTCAGATAGCGCCCTCCTCTTGCATTGGCCATGCTTCTAAATGGCTAATTGAATTGATCTCGCTGTTCACATGGTTCTCAAAGAAACTTGTTAAGTGTTTCTAAAATCCCTCATTACAGTGCTGTATATTGCATTAACCCCCCTTTAAAGTAAGATACAGTTAAAGTTACACCCAAATCAATTCTGTCTGTAAGGGTAGTATACTCTCACAAATGCTTTTTGACATGTCACCAATTCTCATTAAAGTTGCTTACATGTACGTACCGTACATGTACTGTTCTTGTACTCAGTTTACAAAAAAAATAACAAGCAATCAGCACCCAACTTGTAAGTTGACCTTGTTGTGAAGTGACTGTGATTGCAGTAACTTGAAGTTGCTTGCTATTGATCAAATCAAGAGGTTGAAAGCATGTCAGTAACCTGCATATATTTTGAACTTTTTTCTTACAGGTCGTAAAAACAATAGGTCTCCGGGAAATCTGGTACTTTGGTCTGAAGTTCATCGACACAAAAGGCCTCCCCACGTGGCTCAAGCTGAACAAAAAGGTGGGTTTGGACGTTCATTGGAGTGGTTGTTGTAGGATGTTATGCACTGGACAGAAAGTAGGCAAATGCAACTTCCTGATATAAAGTTGAATTTCACCTGTGCACGATATCTTTTGAATGTACACGTTGCACTGGGGTTGTATCCTTTGTTCGTGTAGTAATGTTGAGCTACTCTGGGTTGCTTTATATAGAACTTTTTTAGTGGAGGTTTCTTTAGCAACCCAAACACATTCCCTTCCCCCCCCACAAGTTTGGCTGCTGTTTGATCTGGTGTGAATGTGGTTTATCAGGAAATGCGATCGACAAGAATGTTTGAGCCAGGTATTGAAAAAGAGCTTACCCTGACCAAAGTCCAGAAAGTTATAGGTGCTACACCCACCCTGTGCAGTCAACGACCTACATGTAGTTGCCCAGAGGGGCCTCATTCACCATCCATTGTTGCTTTGTGTGGCATTCAGCAGATGCATGTGCTACCAGTGCATGTCATTGAGTGTTGTATTTGAGACCCCTTAAGACCATCTAACCCTTTAAGACTACATGAGATCCCTCAAGACCATTACAAGACCCTTTAAGACCATCACAAGATCCCTTAAGACCATCAGAAAACCCCATTACATGTACAGTATAATGTCCATCACGAGACCCTTCAATACCATCGTGAAATCCCATTACGAGACCCCTTGAGAGCATCACAAGATCCCTTAAGACCATTACAAGACCCCTTGAGTTGAATCACAACCCAAGACCTCCAGTCTAAACCCAAATCAACAAGCTAGCTATTCGGATGAACTGCAACTGAAGTATTTCATTGCCAAGGTTCACTCTGTAACTTGTGACTGATCTCGTCATCACAATCGACCATTGTCCCGACTACTCAACGGAATCCCCGAGAATAAGTGAACCTAGTACTGTTTATAAAATTGAATTCTTCAGAGTTGATGATCCAATGCTCCCTTCCCAGATAAGACACAAATGGAAGAATTCTGCCCATTGAAGGGACACAAAACATGGAGGTGACCCCAAAATACAGGCCCCGAGTTCTGTAAATACATATGCCAGTGCCAGGATACCAGAAGTGTTGAGTCAACCCTGGCGTATTCACCCATTGAGGGAGTTTTGCTTGCGGCAACACCCATGCACCCACAAACGAGGGCGGACATAAACCACATTGTCAGCTTAAAGGTCTGGCATCCCGATAACAGATAGTTTGCTTTATACCGTATGTGTGAGAAGCTCTTCCGTTTTTTGGTTTTTTTGTCTTTCAAACAACCGAGTTTGACTTTGCCCGATCAAAGTCCTGGTTTCATTCTGTGCTACACCCAGTCTGTGTATAGAATTTCCTCTCTTCTGACATGAATATAGATGTACTGTACATTGTATGCCTGTAATACAATCCAGCTAACTGCAAGCATGCACATTGGGAATATCAAGACTGGCAAGTTCATTTTGAGCCAGTGTGTAATTTCCAGCTTTCATGTACACCAATAAGGTATCCACATACATGCATTGAATGTGAAATGCATCAACACTCTCTCCAGTAGGAACCTGCTACTTTTCACATTTTTTTTCATGGTCGTACAACATGCTACAAAATGTACATGTAGAACGTACTTCATGCTGTTGTACATGTACTGGTACATTGTTGGGTTCAGCTTCAGTGGCTGGGTACAGACACGACCATAACAGATGTGTACATTTACCTGTACATGTATAGATGTGTACAAGTAGGGCCTTCATGTACATGTATGTACAGATAATTGTGCTTAGGGTGCTTCAAAAATGTGACCTTTTTTATCACTGTCAAGCTCAACTGGTGTAATTTGAGAGGAGTACAGTACATGTACATGTATGTCTTTGAACTTGACTTCAAATTATCTTTTGTTTGGCATACATGTACATGTTACCGGTATGGTGGTTGCATTACTTAATCTTTTTCCAAAATTGTGTGGGTTCCAAACACAAGATCATTGTGTCGGCTGTGATAATGAAATGAACGAAAATGAATTCCAAAGTTGTGAAATGAACCTTTTTCCAAAGTTAAAGTTTTAGCCCGTATACTGCAAAATGCAGTGAAATTTACTTTGTTGCACAGACGGAACTCTCATTTTAGCCACATTAAGTCAAGATTTTGCTGGGACTGTAGATTGCTCAATGAAAAACCCCTCTCACACGTGCGCCTTGGTGGACGTACTAGAAATTGAAATTGGATTGAAATTCTGTGAGTTTTCCAAGAATGAGAGCATTCTTCAAGTTCGTGCTGTCGTACGCAGGTGCATGCATATAGCGCATGCTCTGTGGTATTTCCTCTCCCCGGTAATACAGAACAGAAATCAATATTCATTAGATGCTAATGAGTCGTGATGACTCGTCCATTTTTACAACTGCAGACTGGACTCCCAGGAAAAGTAGGTACAAAACTGTGTTTTATTAACACAAAAACGTGTTGCAAGGGAGATATTGATACGTGCCAGTTTTATTAGACTTGGTTCTTCTGAATAGGATTCAATATGAGAAAAACCAACATCGTTGGAGTTGGTCTTTAAGGATGTATAGCTACCTGTAGGCATGAGGTGAAAGGTGTCAGCAGAGAAATGACGGGAACTGAAATGAAACCAAGCCAAAAAATGGGAAGAACTGTAGCAGCATGCCACAGTGAAAGTAGAGTTCAATGGGTAACAAAAGTTGAGACATTTACTGCCAGTAACTTTACATGTACTTTATTAACTGAGGGTATGTGCACTTTTACATCCAACAGTACTGTAGCTGTGTGGCAGTTTGGCCGCAGTAATCAACATGAAAAAGAAAAGGAAAGAAAAAGTGGAATCTAAGTTTAGATACTGACATGGAAAGAAACATTGTGCATGTATGTACATGTACACCACACTATTGAACCTTTGATCTCTGATGATGACCGATACCAGAACAAGTTTTTGTTGCTTTCTGTTCATTATACGTAACAAAGAAAGGCAATAAACTTGTATTTATGTGTATGTTAGTCTGCCAGGTATCACTTTCGTCCATGGAGCAGTGTCGTTCCTGGTCCACTGCACAGTAGGTATATGGAATGGCAGAACCCGTGTGAATCATGCCAAGTGCATAATGTGGGTGCCCAGTGAACTTGTTGTAAATACGCCCATTGTTTAATTCGCCTCGGGGGCCGGCACTTGTTGGCCTCCACTTGAGGGGGCTTCCCATTGGTGGGCTGTTTCATTGACCTTATATGGGCATGCCATTGTTGTGAACCATTTCAGTGTGACCATGTACATGTACGTTACATACATGTACATGTACATTGTACTCGTTGGTTGAACAACCTGCTTGATACTGAACAAAATATACATGTACACTACTCTGTAAGTACACTTTACATGTATTTACATGTATTGTAGGTCATATGGAGTAGGGACCAAAGGTATCATTGTTGAATCTTATCAGTTTTAACAGATCGTAATCCCGAACAGTTCTATAATCTTGTTCACATGCTCAGGGGATTTCAGGAAATAAAAGACAAATATGTACTAATGATGTCTTGTTTCATGCAGCCTTACCGAGCAGTGACGCTGCAGATGCAACAAAACAAAGTCAGCAGCATATTCATTAGGCTATAGGATGATGCTAAGCATTCAATAATAATAGGGTTTCCAACATCTGAGGGGCCAGATTTGTCATACTTGTAAATAAAAAACCCAAAACAAAGGTAATCAGAGTGTAAGATTTATGCGAAGTTCTTGCACATTTTGTAACAAAACAAGGCACCCAAAGTAGACACTGTTAGACATGTTAGATGACCAGAAATTGCCCTGACACATCCCTGGCAAAACACCGACTGGTGAAAACCAAAATAAGCAGCATAAAAATTCCAGGCGAATAATCACCAGAAACATTGTATACCGATGGAACTGGTAAGTCAGTTTTTGATTCATCCTTGGAACAAAATGGCCTGTGCTCAATATTTCACGCATGGACGAATGGAATTGAGTTCCCCGTGTACCGCGTGTACCGGAAGTTATTATTCACCTTCACCGGGACACACTGCCACGTCTGTGCTCGATAAGGATGTGTGGCATTTACAAGGGGAGATCTATACTGATCATTCATAAAGAATTCAGTCACTACGAACATCCAACAGAAGAAACACAGTGCACTAACAATGACCGTCCGTTGTTATTGCACCGTGCTTCTTTTGTTAGACGATCGTAGTGAGTGCGCATTGTTTTAAGTGCTCCCACATGTACGTGTGGGTTGGGTTGGAGAATCTGTGAAGAGTTGGATAGCCACATGAGAAACCCCGCTTTCATGGAAGTTTACAAAATGGCATTGTCAACGGCATTGCGCATGAGCGACTCTTTTCTATCTGGCAGAGACGTGCCAACTGGCTGATGAGGTCATCCCACTTCATCATAGAAAAATGGAATGGGCTGCACCAAACATCCCCCCCCCAATTTTTGTGTATTTTTTGTTGGTATGTTACCTTTAAGTTGTTCTTTGTTGGATACTATTTTTGAACAGGGTGTATCAATTGCTGAAATTCACGTCCTGTACATGTACATTGTACATGTACAGTATGTAGGGTACACTGTACAGTACATGCATGAAAGGTTTTCTAGAGCGCTGGTACATGTACAATGTACATGTACGTACCGGTACACTTGGTATGAATGTGGGAATTTCATTAGCGAATTACAGTAGCACGCCCTAGTGCAATCCAATCACTGTTTTTATGCAGGAAGTTTGTTGCATTGTCCGTCAGTGTATATAGTACATGTGTGTAATCCAATGATTTGATCAGAGAGAAGAAAATCAAATCATTGACGTGTCTGTAGGCCGGCGTCAGGATTCATCGCAGGCTGCCGTGCACGGGCCAAATTGAATTGTGAAATTCAGGAATCGTACATCACCGTCACAGTGCATTACTGTATGCCACTGTATGCGGACGAATGCAAAGGGTCAGAAGTCTGTGCACACATGGTCACATGCCGGTACCTAGACATGATTGGGTATTTATGCTTGATACATGTACATGTATTTGACAAGGCCATGATCGGTAGACTGAAGGAGCGGTCTCTTGACCCTTCATCTTGAAACTGAGGCAGTTCTGACCCATAGGAATACAGTCCCATGATGTTAATAATATTTTTAACTTCATGGACTGTGAATTATCTTTTTTCCCCCAAAGCAGCCAGTCTTATCGGCATGCAGCTAAAAATAAAGCCCCTAAATGACCCGAAAGCAAACACTCAGAGGAGCAAGATGCAATCTCTGCTGCCATAAAGCTAGATTGGAAATTTATGGAGGTGATGGCTGATTACGTTTATTGCTGGTATGAATATTGCGTGGACTCTGTAATTGGGCATCATGTGGGCCTGCAGTTACCGGGTACCTTTCTGCAGTCTTGTTCTTAATGTACATGTACACCGGCGTGCAAAAGTCTTTGCACGCCTACGTGAATGATATTCATTTCGGTAATGCAACTAAAAGTCAATAAAAATAAACAATTTTACCCATAACTGTGTGTAAGTTGCTGTCTTTATTGAAATAAATTCATGTTACATTAGAAAGTTCTTTCTGAACTGGGAAGTGACAAAAAGCAGAGTCACAGCATTTTGTATGCACAGAGCCTATGGTAACTTTTGCCATTAACATATCATTAACATAAATCCAAGATGGCGGTGCCCATGGTCTGCTGGAAAACATGAGAGACGGATCAGTTTAGTAACATGTAAAAGATCCCCTGGCATTAATCACAGCCTGGCACCTCTGAGCATTGAACCGATGAGATACGTGATGACATGGCGGTCCATTCCATCCCAAATCCGCTTGACAACTCAAAGAGATCATCCTTGTTTCTGGGGTGATTTTCCCCAGGAAGTCAGAGCTCCATTTCATCCCAGAGATTCTCAAGCGGGTTCAGGTCGGGGTTCTGGGTTGGCCAGTCAGTCCTTCACTTCGAATGGCCAGCTGCTCTCGATTTCCCGATTAAATTCGGGCGTTGGATTGGCCAAGAACTCCCTTGTGACAAGAGCTGTGTGGGGTGGAGCGTTGCTATGCTGGAAAATGAATTCATGACTGACCAAATAGTGGGCAACTGGCAGCATGTGGTCACGAAGATTATCAACGTAAACATGGGAGTCAATATTCTCCTTGACCCACACTGGGGTCCCAACACCAGATGACCTTAAACACCCCCAAACCATGAAGCCTAACTCTGCATGCTTAACTGACAGAACCATGCAGGTGTCGACTAGTTAACTGGATATTTTACCAGCCTGTTTAGAGTTTGAAAAAATAAGGAAACCCTAAAGAAATTTTATCAGCTTACCAATGAAGAATTTGACGTTTTGTAAAATGAAAGGTTAATGGTATAAATATAGAGGCCTGTATGTTAGTTAAACATTACTTGAGTCGCTGGTCACAAAGTCGGGATCCAAATCATCTCTTTGCTCCATCTTTCCACTCATTTGGGTTGCTTACATTTGGCAAAAATTACCACTTTTTGCTTACTTTTGGACCTCCAAACGTGCGTGGTGAACGAGAAAAAACTTTTTTCCAATTAAAAGAGGGAGCTGTTTGCACGCGGCTTTGTGTAGACTTCGTATCAAATGCTAAATTTGAACAGGGAGGTTTAATACTGAATTTTTCACCAGCCCACCGGGTAGCCAAGGAACCAAGTTTAGGTAGACCAGAGCAATTTTCGCCAAAATTTGTACGCTGGGCTAGTACTAATTCGAAGCCTGGTGATGTACTTGCGTGGTGCTTATTGTGGACATACAAAGTGCAGCAGCGGCTGAAATGTACACGTGTAAGGCTCACATCATCCTTATAATAAACCTTCATGTGAATCTAGTGTGTACATGTATACATCGTACATGTGTAGCCTGTTACATGTGTACATGTACAGGACGTTGCAGTTGAAAGTTAACATTGGGAATGGCAAATTCTTGTCATTTTTTTTCTCTTGTAGGGGAATGTTTCATTTTGTTTTCATTTCACAAAATGTGAGAACAATTTTCCAGAGCAGGAAAACATTTCCACACCTTTTACACAAATGCAGCAGTATTTCACATGGTCTTGTGAAATGTGAAGGCAAATTCTTGCGACAGAAATTCCCATTCGCATTCACAGTGTGCACTTTACACATGATGCATATTTATATTGGGGGTTCAGTACCCGTAATTTAGAGATGTGAGTACAAAAAGAAGTCGTATCAGTGTAAAATTTGAATTTCATTTCACTACTTAGGACCACTTTAACAAAAAAAGATCACACTCCCATATCCCATTACCACATTCAGTCATTTTGTTAACAGCTTTGTTGCCAATGTTTTTAATTTTTGTCTACATATTAACCCTAACTGTCCTTAATCCATCAACTGTTGCAGGATTGAGCACTGTTAATTGAGTTAATGATCAAACATTTTCCCTGAAAGGCAGCTGTACTCTTCGCCACATCGATAATCAGATTTGGAAAATTTGTATATACATGTAGTTTAACATCAAATGTACGGAGCCTTCTTTGCGTGAGCAGAGAACTTGTGTTGTGGAAAGACACTTAGATTTACGCAATCAATATTTGAAAAATATGGTTACTGATCTGGTATAAATTGTCAGGAAAGAGACTAATGGTGACATTGCTTTTGGTTTGATCCGCCAGGTGTCCAACCAAGATGTCAAGAAAGAAGAGCCGCTGCAGTTCCAATTCAGAGCCAAATTCTTCCCTGAGGACGTGTCAGAAGAGCTCATCCAAGACGTGACCCAGGTAGGACAGTGACGGCACCTGCCCCTGTACTGCCCCTACCTTCTCTGCAGCACCAACCAACTCCCCCACCCCGGCAGGCATTTTGCATACAACCTTCTTCCATTTCATAGGCTGTAGTCGTTCTGTGAACGTTACAACTTGTGGCGTGGACCCTCTCCTCAGTACAGCCAAGTTTCTCAGTCTTAAAGAGACCGCTTGTGATACTCATGTGGATAGATCTCTTTCAGAAGAGGTGTGGTTCTGATAAGAATCGGTGAGTGTGTGTATTCAGCGTTTCGACCAGTGTGATAGGGTTGTCCTCAGGAGTTGAGACTCCTTAATCCTTCACCTGTTAATTGAGTTGAGACTCCGGAGGGCAACCAGAGCACACCTATCAAAATGTTGAGTACGCACTCACCGGTTCTTATCAGAACCATATCTCCTCTAAAACAGATCTATCCACATGGGTGTCATAACAAGTCCTCTCCTTAGTCTATTCTCTACTATGCAAAGCTTCACATCTTATCTTTCTCAGTTTTATCACTTCCCTCATATGCCATTACAAGTAGATGAACCCTTTGCAGAGTCTTGGTATACTCAAACTTTGCTCCGTTCAAGTTTTACCATCTCTGGAATGTTGGAAATGGTTCTTGTTATGCCTGGGTGTTCATACACAACACATGATCAACCATATCGGGCTGGAATAACTCTTTTGGCTTTTCCTAATGTAATGAGCCAGTGCGATATATGAACCACATGTGCCCAGCAATGAAGCGCACGGAGGTCATTGGGAAATAGTGGTGCAAGTCTGCCCTATCTTTTGTTCTCAAATGACCTTACCTGTTTAAAAATACTGAACTAACTCATTCATTTAAGACCTAAGTCATTTTCATTTGATTTTGGGGGGGTTGGGTTATGAAATAACATCTGATGTCGTAGCATCAACTTTTTCAAATCTTCATTTTGTCCCATGTTCCACAGAGATTGTTCTTTTTGCAAGTCAAAGATGCCATCCTGAACGATGACATCTACTGTCCCCCAGAAACATCGGTCCTGCTGGCTTCCTATGCTGTCCAGGCTAAATACGGCCCATACGACCCTGCAATCCGAAAACCTGGTTTCCTTGCCAACGACCGCATTCTTCCATCAAGGTAATACCCACCTGTTCTGCCCTATTTATCTCCAATAATTTACAAGCAATTTCTCAGAAGCTATGAGCCGAGTGTTTTTTCCCGTAACCAACCCCATGTGTGCTAACTATTAAAAACTTTTGTTTAACGCTATTTTTCTTGAAAGCCTAGATTGGTCTGGTACCCTTGTACATATTTTTTTCTGGTTGTCTCCTGTGCAGGGTAATGGATCAGCATAAGATGGGCAGGTCAGAGTGGGAGGAAAGAATTGTCAACTGGTACAAGGAACACAGCACAATGATGAAGTAATGTATCTCAATGTTAGATCTTGTGTATTTTGGTTTTGATAATGGTGGTGAATGAAATATGAATATTATTTTAGTGTTAGTACGTGTAAATGAATCTGCATAATACCTTGAGCAGCATGAAAATGAAAATAAAATTGAACAATTGAAAAAAACCATTCAATAGTTTGTGTGTTTACACATTGCTCTCCCCTCCCATTTTTTCCTGTTTTCAAATCTCTAAAAAAAATTTCAGAGATTCACCGCACCTGCTGCTTGGTACCACATTTCACCTACAGCATTATAAGTGTGACAGGTTTTTGGTGCTCATTCATTTGAAAATGGGAGGCACATCGCCTTTGTCATGCATATGCTAAATCAGTGCCATCTTACCTGGAGTAGTTCAGACAGTGCATCTGTGTTTTAATTCACCCCTGAAATTGTTAAACTTTGGCTAAAGCGAGAGTTGGCGCCTTTGTAAATTTTTGTCCCAACAGGGAGGACGCCATCATGGAGTACCTGAAAATAGCCCAGGATCTGGAGATGTATGGCGTCAACTACTTCGAGATCAAGAACAAGAAAGGAACAAAGTTGCACCTGGGGGTGGACGCCTTGGGCCTCAATGTGTACTCGTCAAATGACAAGTAAGGCTTCACTTGGGTGCAAAATATTTAGACCTTGAGTTGACTTGGAAGACAGTCATCCAAAATCGCAGGAGGTGTTTGACCAGTTAGCAGCTTTGTAGGTCCAAGCTGACTTGAGTTAGTGCCAAAAAGAATATTAGTGCCATTACTAAGACAGAGGGAAACCTGTTGCTTCGGGCCTTCCAGGTAGGATTGATGATACAGATGTCCTTTGCCCAGTCACGTGCACATGAAGACTTCCCATCTGCAACACATTTTGAGTGGCGGTTGCATGTGGCCCATTAATGCATCCAAAAAGAATTACACTGTTTTTCTGTCTTTATTTCCATGTGTGCTTGCTTAGGCTCTCCCCAAAGATCGGCTTCCCGTGGAGTGAAATTCGCAACATCTCTTTCAACGACAAGAAGTTTGTCATCAAACCGATTGACAAGAAAGCACCAGTGAGTACACTATTCTTCGCTGGAAGTGAAGACTTGGGGTGTACAAACTTAACCCCGTGAAAAAATCAAGCTGAAGTCTTTTACTTCTGTCCATTACGATTCACCCTCTTGATTTTTGTCATGAAGTGTGATGAAGTTAACAGTCCAGCTGAAGTGTTATCTACCTATCGCAAGCTTTGCCATTCCAAATCAGTGTTACACCTTATCCTGGGTAAGGATTCCAGAAAAGGTGTTACTTTCCTCATTTGTTATTTTGTTGCATTTTGGTGAAGTGTGGCATCCTGACGTGAACCAATTTCTCCTTGCCCAGGACTTTGTGTTCTTTGCCGAGCGGCTACGCATCAACAAGAGGATCTTGGCGCTGTGTATGGGCAACCATGAGCTGTACATGCGCAGGCGAAAGCCAGACACAATTGAAGTCCAACAGATGAAGGCGCAAGCGCGAGAGGAGAAGTCATCCAAGCAAAAGGAGCGGTAAGTTCCTAACTGCTGCTATTTGACCCCTTCACCCCGGCAGACGTCGACAGCCGCGACTTTGTATGAGGATTAGTGCATACCAAACATATATTCTATTCATCATGCACCTGCGGTTTCAATGTGGGCCTGCTGCTGGACAGGGCTTTGCATACTGGGCACACCGCAGCCCAGCAGTCGCAGTCAAAAGAATCCCGGCGTTAAGGGGTTAACCCTCACCCTGCCAGACGCAACAAAGTGCAGCAGGTGAAAGTCTGATGCACATTAATGCACTGGGCAGTTAACAGTAGCCCAAAAAACTGCCGATGTAAAAACTGCTTAGTAAAACCCAAGGAAAACCATTGTTTATTTTCCATCGGTGAAAGCAGAGCTCGCTAAAGTTGTCTTGCAAAAAAAAGGCACATGAACTATTAAGTCTGTTTTAGTTGAGTATGTGAACAACACATGCTTGGTGTCAGTCACTGTGTGGTGCCCAGTTCTGTAGGATATAAAATCAGTTATTTGTCATTATTTATCTGGACTGTCACTGGAGAATATTTAACAAACAGTTCCTCTTTTGCGAAAGTAAGAGGCACAGCAATTGTATAACTTGACCAAACTTATTACTTTATAAATGAGCTTGACGATAACTATTCGGTATTCGCACACAATGTATGTTACTTTCATAAAAAGTGCAAGCTTGTTGAAGACACCACTGTGTCTTCACTGCTGGTTTAGATTACCCTTTGAAATCCTGTATTAAAATTAATATCCCCTGATGCACCTGTCTTTCCCGTTTTGCCTTGTTGCAGAGCCCAGCTACAGCTGGAACACGAGAGGTTTCTGAAAGCCGAGAAGGAGAAAGAGGAGCTGATGAAGAGAATGGAGCTTTTTGAGAAGCAGCAGAGGGAGGCAAAAGAAGGTAGGACCCCACCCCCCCACCCCCTCGCCAGGCATTGGCCTAACCCCTTGGTGGGAAACAAACAGTCCAGTCCCAGCTCGGGCCCGGGGGAAGGGGGGATTCAGGCCCCTCTTGGCAAGCAGCTGACCCCCATGGGCAAAAACCATCAACGTGAAAATATCCTGTCTTTTCTTGAGATGTGCCCCCGTAGCTGGTACGGTACACACACCTGGTCATTTTACCCCTACTCCCAAACTGCTAAAAATATCAAATGGTCAAGTCATTTTCAGCTGAATTTTGGGTGACGTGTGAATGAATAAAGTCCCTTGACCTTGGTCACAAGTCTGCCATATTGAATTAAAAAGCAAGATTAACTTTGTTACTTTTTGAGCATGAGATAAACACCGAAAGCATTGAAATAAGAGTTTGTGACAGATTATGGCAATAATGAAACTTGTGGGTATTTGTGATTGATGAAATCTAAATGTTTCGAGCAGCATTTTTAAACAAAAGAAGGCGAGGTATGGAGCCCACAATACAGGCATGCAACTTTTCCTCGGATCAGCTGATTTTCTCTTGGCATTGAAATAGAAACACAGTATACAAGGTCTTGTTGAGGTTGGAATTTCCTCATTTTTTATCAAAGTCCAAGTTGCATGTCTTGAAATGGTCCAGTCTACCCCATTTGAATAAGGTAGATTCAAAGAACTTTGCAAATCACCGTTTGGTTTTTCTTCCCTTCTTCCTCGGGCAGCTATGGAAGAGGCCAACCGCAAGGCGTTGGAGCTGGCTGCCCAGAAAGAGCTGGCAGAGCAGGAGGCGGCGAAGCTGGAACAGCAGCGGCAGGAGGAGGAAGAGAAGCGGCGGCAGGAGGAGGAGGAGATGCGGCAGCTGCAGGAGCAGCGGGAGTTGGAGGCACAGGAGCGGCGGAAGCTGGAGGAGTGCATGCACGGGCAGGAGGAGGAATGCAAGCGGTTGCAGGAGGAGAGCCTGCGCAAGCAGCAGGAAGCGGAGGAGCTGGCCAGGCAGGTAAAGGAGCCCAAACGGTTCTAGGGGCTGGAATTGAGAAACGACGGTGTTAGACAAGTTGGTCTGCTCATTCAGATCCCAGATGAGTTGCTTGATATTTGTGTGCCTTCTTTAAAAAAAACAACATTTTTTGTTTGGATTGGCTGTTTTGCAGTATCCAGACCTGGCTTTTATGACAAGATATTTGAGGCATAGTTCTTGTTGCAAAAAACGTGATTTTGTGGCCTGGTTTCCAATACAAAACAAGATTCTTGTGGCTTGAATCTTGTGAAACAAGGTTTTTGTGGCCTGGTTTCTGTTGCAGAAGGTGTATCATTTCCTAGTTTTTGTTTTGAATCAAGATTTTCATGGCCTTCGTGGTCCATGGCCAATGAGCTTGTTGTGAAACTAGACTTTTGTCGGGCGACACTTTGTCAGGAAGAATGACATCGCCTGGGAGTTACTGCAAACTTGTGAATCCAAAGTGTCCTTACCCAGGTCTTGCAGCTATAAACCTGACTTTCATGGCCATGTTGTGCTTGGTATACTCTCTGCCCAGCTGGTAGAAGCAGAGAAGACCTACCAGGAGTCACTAGCCCAGATGGCTATGCCCCATGAGGACGAGGACAAGGTGGAAGTGGAGATGGTGGTTGACCCTAACATGATCAACGACCAGTCGGAGGTAGACCGCATCACCAACGCCGAGAAGAGTGAGATGCTTCAGAGACAGCTGCAGGTGAGAGCCCTTTGCAGTTCAGTTAAAGACAGTCCCCATCCCCCACCTCACAAGATAGTCAACAAGACCGTCACCAGGCGTCCAGTCCAAATTCACATCACACGGCTGTTCTGTTGGACCGTGAAAAACTCATTCGGCCGTTGCTATTTATGCGGTCTGCCTGAATTGTCTGCTGTTTTTCTGTTCATTCGTGTGTTGGTGCCCATCTTGTGTTGGTGCCAGTGGCCCTTTTTTAATTTCCCTTAACAAATCTGGACCGAACATTCATGAGTTCAAAACTGCTGATTTACAAAGGAAATTGAATGCAATGTGCAGTACAAAGCTTCTAGTTCTAAAAGGAGGAGTTTGCAGTGTCACCTCAGTCCCCTTTGCATCTCTGCTCTCCAGAGTGTTTAGAAAAGAAACAGGAAGTAAGAGGGCCATCTGCTGGCGCAGATGATGTATCTCTAACCGTGTCCTCACTTCTCTCTCTTCCCCGTCCTACCTTCCGAATCCAGGACCTGCAGAAGGAACTCCAGGCCGCCAAAGATGAGAAGAGGACGACGGAGATGGACGTGCTTCACCAGGCCAACGTCAAAGCTGGCCGAGACAAGTACAAGACCCTCAAGCAGATCCGCATGGGCAACACCAAGCAGAGAATAGATGAATTTGAAAACATGTAAAAAAAAAAAAATGAAAAGACAGAAGGAAAACATCAACTAACCTAGCCTCAGAGGTGTTGTGTTATTAAAACGTGATAATCTTTTCAGATGCTGAGACATTGGAGGCCTCTCGTTACAAAGTGCCACGGCGCTGGCGTCAGTAATATTCGGGAGCTTAATACAGAATTTCTGTATTATGGAGATAATTCACTGATGGTGTATTTTGAAAGAATGGCTTGACTTTGAGAAACCCACACTTTGAACCATCACAGAAAAACCGGATGAGGAAAGCCACCTTCCACCATGTTTGAGCCATTATGTTTTGTTTTGTTCAGTCTCTGAAGACCTCTCCATCCATCGCATGGCTTCAGCACTAACTGCACAGAAAACATTACAGGGCAGACGAGCTGTGGGCACATTTACTCAGAGTCCCTCTTGTTGCAGGCTGCTGTTAGCTGAGAAGAAATATAGGGGGAATTGGTGTAACTTTGTTTGCTTTGTGGGGGGGGGATGGAAACAGCAATGTAGGATAATTCCTTGGCAACTGGTGTGTTTTGCTCTCTTGTTTTAAAGGCTCCAATCGGACTCCGAAATGCGGAAGTTCAGGTAATCGCCAAGGGGCCTGCAATGTCTTATTGTTTTCAATTGGTGCTCACTCTACCAGGCCAATTTCAAGGTTTGCGTACTCATCTACAAAAAAGAAACGGAGAAAATCTGCAGAAGCCTCCACGTGCCAGACGTTTAAACAGTTTTTGTTTTATTTCTGTTTTCTGTTGTTTTAGGATAAACCCATTTTGTTTATAAGGCCCGGTAGAATAGCCCTACTTGGACGAGATGAATGTGACAGTTTTATTTTCCTGCAGGTTTTTTGCAGATTTCCCTGAAATCCATTGCATGACAGAAGGACATACATGTGTTCTTAGCAGAATTTTGTTTTGGCCCACCCCTCCCCCCAAAAATGCAAAACCAAAGGGAGGGAAATTTCTGTCAATGCCATCAAGGATGGTCCGGCTTTAAGCCAAATTTCATTAAAAATGAGTCAACCTATCTTCAGTTGGTAAGTGTAACATGGTGCACTTCAACTTTAGTTTAAAAAAGTCAAAGCTCATCTGGTTAAATACTGCTACTGTAACCCTCCTGATACTTGTACACGGTGTTGAACATTTGTGAGCAATTTCAGTGTCCTAACATTTCGTTCAAAAACCATAAAATGTCCATGTCCAGAAATTGGGCTGAAATTCAGCTGAGTGTTCCCTAACGTGGCGCTTTTGAAAAAATCCCAGAACATCCCACATAAGCATTTTAAACATTCTTTAAAATTGATAAAATCATGTACTGCATCATTCCTTCTGCTCACCTACCCATCCACAAGTGTGTAAGAAAAGTATGTTCATATTTGTGAGCACATTCTAAAAGCATTCATTTTGCGCGTCAGAAAAACTTTGGAAAATCGGATGAAAATAAAATTTCATCAGAACTTTTTAGCAGACACACAAAATTAAGATTTTTGAATCAAAATATTAGGAGATGGATGGCATTTGACTGATTGTAAAATTTGAGGTAAAAATATTGCTATGGTGAGACGCGAGGAAAAAATGAAAGTGCCCCATGTTAGGGGCCGCGTCACGTTAGGGTACACCAACTAAAAAAAAACAAAAATGAGTTCAAAAAACAACTAGGTTTTGGGGCCATTTCTTTATGTTCATAAAATATAATGCAGTTTTTATGTAATAGTAGCTGAATACCAGTAGGTGATCCACTGATAATATTCAGATAACTCAATATTATGCAGACTCCATAAAGACTAATGAAAGCCATGTTTGATTCATTATTTCGTTCTTTCAGGAATTTCCTGAAGATGTTCTGAATAAAGAACGAAATATTGAATCAAACATGGCTTTCATTAGTCTTTATGGAGTCTGCATAATATTGAGTTAGCTGAATACCATTGTTGCTTTTTGGCAAATGCTTCGTTTGTAAGAAAGGGAGCTAGTTAAGTGTGTACAGGTGCAGCGTAGTGCTAATTTCTGACACAAAAAGGCGAGAGGTAGGCTTTGTCAAATGTGTAGAAATTGTTGATTCACCCATGTTTGCACCTTTACCCAACGGAGCAACAAGAACTTGAAAGGTAATCTGTGCCATTTCTGGAAAGTGGGCCGTGGTTATATTAAGAGCTATCTGAAGTGTAAAAGATGCTAGCTGCACCTGTCGCCATGGAGGGGGCGTTGTCAGTTTAAATTGCTTGGAAAGGATGCAGACCCTTCACTTTTATTGTGGTTTTTTGCTTATTTATGGCTGGGCACAGTAGTCAAAAAGTTCTAGGCCTTATGTACTGCACTAGGGGTTGCTCTGCATGCATCTAGCACAGTTTGTAAGCTGTTTCCTATATACATGTGTGTTGAATTGCTTTTTCTTTTCCTTTTTAAATTTGAGTAGGTGATTTTGTATAGATTTTCTTATTTGTGTGGTTTGGAAAGTCTTTGCTCTGTGACACTCCTTGTCTCGTGGCTAGCACATGCCAAATATGCATACATCCACATGCCTTATCTTGTAGATGTCGCCTCTGTTCTTTGTAATGCATGCTGTACATGTACATTTGGGGTTGGTAAATTAGATTTTGCCATTTTCTTGAGATCAAGTGCCTTTTAATAGAGGTTTTGGCTTCCCATCTCCATTGGTATTCGTTTCCACTTGGAACCCGAGAATGGCGTCGGTCTAAATCGATAGTCCCTTTGGCGATCAAATTTATCGGATACAAGAGGGTTTCATTCGTATGTGTCAGTTTTGTTTTGTTTTTCCTATTTTAGAGGCTTTTGTGTGGAATGTTGATGTAAATTTAAGTAGAGCTTTCTGAGAAATCTGCATTTGCAAAGGGTAACCACTTTTTTTACCATTTGAAATTCATTTAGCAGAAATATTTACATTGAAAATGTAGTCAGATCATACCATAAATGTTATGATATCCACTCGTTAATTTGTTACCATCTGTTTATAATTCGTAGTTTAAAAGCTTTCATACGGGAATGGTATCGTATGAAAGAACAAATCCCGAGATGTAGATTTGAAAAAAAATGTTGGTTAACTCGTCTTGAATTGAAAAATGAGAAGCCAATGGATTGTGGAGATGGTTTGTAAGAGTATGTTCTTATTGATAAGTTTGTTTTTTAGATCTGTCTAAAATGGCAACCAGAAGTGGTAAGTTGCTCTCCTTTTTTTTCCTTGAGTAGATGAACCTGTTTACACCAGCAAACCATTCTGATAGATCAAGTGAACTTAATGATGTGTTTCCTGTTTTTTGGTTTTAAGATTGGATTTGGTTTCTTTTTTCAACGTTCCTGAATTGTTTGGGCTACAAATGGCTCTATGTCGCTAACTTTGCTATGGAGGATTGAAAAATAGAAAGAAATGGTGTTGACTCACGAGCGTGTGTGTGTAATTGATGCAATTAGAAGTGTTAATACCGACATTTAAATATACCCTCTTGGCTGTGAAAAATGTACAGTTGACCACCTCAGTACTGAAAAAAAGATTTGATAAGAAAAATTGCTAAGTATGATAATGCCACACGCTGCTAGAAATGACATTGTTAGAGTATTGTACAAAGTAAAAGAATTATGCCCGTTTAAAAAAAAAGATCAGTATGCAAATTGTAGATGGTAGTCTTAGACTAGGTTGGGATCTTGTATCTGAATACTTTTTTTTTTAAATTTATGTAACTACTTAGCCTTAAGGAAGCATTTAGTGAAGACAAGAGGAAATTACCCTATTATGTAAGACATAACTGATATGTACACTTTGCACTTGAGGGGGAGTGGGTTCAATCCCTTCTAATCAGATTTTTGAAATTTTTGATTATGATATTAAAGACTGTACAAAAAAAGTTGACATTCCTGTTGGAAGTATGTATGTGTACTCGGTCTGGTTTGTTTTGGCTTGAACTTGCAAAGCACGTTTCTACACGTTGAGCAGTGCAAGGGATTTTCCCACGTTCCGTTGGTCATCCTTAAGAGTGAAATTTGATCAGTTCATTTGTGAATTGTGATGGTGCAGCAAAGTTATAAATGTCATGCTCAACCCAGAAATGAAATGAACTCGGTTGAGATACTAGCCCTGACATGCCTTCCACTCGTCGTCATCACACATATGTTCACCCCTTCCACTTAGTTTGTGCGCATGTGCTAAAATTCGGCAAAGTCGAGATCACTTTCTGTTGCTTGTTAAAATGGCGACGCCAGTCAGCAAATGACTACACCAAAATCTATCTGTGGAGATCTTCCGCACTGTGTAAACGTTTGCTGAATTTGTACCAGAGAAACATAATCAGGCTTCAGATTTCATTTTATCATGTGTTTCTTGTTAATCAAAAGTGACATTTGGGAGAAAATGGGGTGACAGATGTATGTGTACGTTACATTTCTGAACGTAAAAAGGGTTTTTGAAACTTGAAAATTTGAATTGTTCCCCAGTTGGTCCACACATGCTGCATATCCTGATTACTGAAAGAGTGTTTGAAAAAGGTTACCATGTTATGTTTATGCTATTGCGAATTGCTCTTTGTCGACCGGTCGGCCATGGTTTACGTGTGCACATGTGCAAGTTCGTGTACATGTACTGTACGTGGTCATCTACTCCATCAACACACGTAACTACTACGGACAAATGATTCTCGTGCAAGATATTAAATTCGCAATAACTTGAATATACTACCGATGTTTTTATTAGACATTAATAAACACTGCACTTTATTTTGTCTGTTTGGATAAACTGGAGAAGTTGTTTTAAAATGGAAAAGACCATGGATGTATTCTCTTTTCAATTTGATTGTGTTTATTTTTTGTAAAAATCACTTTTTCAAAATTTGTTTCAAATTTCATGCAGCTGGGTTCATACAATGCGGTGATTTAATGGGGTCTAATCCATTTTTAGTTATCAGGTTATCTTCGTGAACTTTCTTTGTGTTTTGTTAAAAATTATGATCTTTATCCGCGAACCGAAATGCCAGAATGATGTTCGACGTCGCCTGCCTCGAAATCCACAGGAAAGTGATCCAGTACGCATGCGCTAGCTCTCAACTAAGTGGTGCACAAGGGCATGGGAGTGAACATACATGATCACCACGTGGGAACGGAAGTCCTGTGCACTATTGGCAAACTTTAAAAATCCAGCACTCCTGATGGTTTTGGTTCCTTGTTTCTTTGTACACTGGTAACCCATCATGGATCATTCACAGTTATAATGTAAAACAAATGTCTATTTTAGGGGAGAGTGGCCAATAAACTGTTGATCTCAAAGTACATCGTGTCCAGTGGATAACTTTCTTTCAGCTTTTGAGTAGCAACCTGCTTGCTGTATAGTCTGCAGATAGCGACCAGAACAGAGTACATGGAATTATATGTGCTTTAAAAAAGTGAATACATTGTAATGGGGAGCTTTGAAAGTATAGGACTCATGAGTGTGTGCTCACTTTGGCGAGTCATGACACTATTGGTTGGAGAGAAACGTAACATGCGTGTGTACCACCTGCATGCCAACAGGTTGGCCTAGCAGTACTCGTGGCTTCCATTTCTTTTCTCTGGATTGGCTAATAGCAGGGCCACATGATTTCCTTGCGACAAATCCACCTCAGTCTTCATTTGGACATGCTAGTAGGCCCATGTACACTGATGTGGAACTGATGTCTTTTCTGCAGAAATCTTTAAGAAATGGCAAACTTCAGGGCATGCTTTTGAACTGGGATGCAAATCTGTAGAAGAATTTCCAATCTGGATGTAAATGGTGTCCGTAGAGTGATACACAAAAGGGCCTTTTCAGAGGGTTTTCAGAGGTAACAGCATGGTGCCTGGTTGTATTTACACGGTGATCAGTTTGAGTTAGTCATGGCACATGTCCCAGATCAAGGTTGTGTCATTTCTGTAAAGACAGCCAAGTACAAACAATTACAAACCAACTAACAGCTCAAAGATTTCACAAAATAATCTTCGGACATGTATGCATACCATCAAAGCACATTGTGAACAATGTCACTTTTTATTACTCAACGTTGTTTACAAAACCACAGAGATGTTGAGCAGCCTTTTCCTCCTAAAAATACAGTGGTATTTGAGGGTAAAAAATAAATTCATTACAAGTGTCTACATCTGCCATACATGTAAATGCGCATAGTTCTATCACACAAGATGACAAATGTTGTGTCTTAATTTTATTCACAATTAAGTATTATTGGCTTCAGTACATTATTAAAGAGTTGCAATCGCTATGGCGGTTGTTGCTGTATCTTCTACATGTATGGCTATGGCTACATCTGTTGTCAGCATACGTACATGTAAATGCAACCCAGACAGACCTAGACTTGGCTCTTAATCAAAATACAAGACAGCTCGCTGTTTTATGCAATCAGTCTGTGCCCAGTTCCTCTAATGAGATTACTCTATGATAGTGTTCATTTTAAGCTTTGGTTATCATTCAAAATACCATCAAGTGCGGCTACTATTTCTGTGTGACATTATAAAATATATGCTATTGTAAAAACACATTTGGCATCCAAACTATGAAAATACTTCCACAGAATGAAAAATACATGTTGGGCATTCTTGTGATATACAAAAATGGTACACAAGAGTTGATATAAAATAATAGAAAATAAAAGGAAGAGACTGCGGCTAGGTTGGGAAGGCTTTTCTCATTTACAGACAAAAGTGTGGCATGCTTTCAAAAAAATGTTACAGAGAAGAAAGGAAAAAAGACCAACACTGAATGCAAGTACATTCATTCTATGTAGAAAATCACTGAAAGAATAGGCCAATTATTTTAAAAAAAGATGTTGGGACATTACAGTATTTCAGATATTTCTTTGAAACAAAAAATTATTTGGCTAGTTTTCATGAACAGTATTCCATTGCAAAATACATGATCATGACTGAAATACACATATTTAAATTAAACATTTAAGTACAATAACTGATAATGTAACAACAGAGGATGGTATTATTTCTAGTAAGTACAAAAAAGTGAAAAAAATTATCACAAGCAATATCTACTTCAAGCAGAAAAATCTCCCAGACCATGTCCAAAAAAATTCCAAGAAACTGCATACAAGTACGTGAAAAATACTTTGAATCAAAATGACCAATAAGGCTATACTTTATATGTTAAACTTTGCAGCCTCTACTGCAGTTGGCACATTTTTGTTTAACATGCAAGACACAGTAGACATAATTACAGAAGTGCATGCATATCCTCACTGTACACATGATGACCATGTGACTTTCCTTTGTCCTTCCCATCTCGCCAGTTGAACGAACATTCCACACAGAAAACAACCGATAAAACTTAATGAATAAAGGCCCCTTTCCAAATGTACGTTTTTTGGATGCGTGGCGTACACAATGCGTTTCACTTTTACGGGCACAAAAATCAACTCCATGAGCATAACACACGTGTGCTTTGCGTTAAGCCGTCAAATTGACCCGGGAGTGATTGACGGATACGCAACGCTTGATGCAAGTGTTAACACGCATATGGAAGGGCGCCTTCAGCATACAGAAAGTGGGTTTCCAAAAATCTGGAAACCTTATTCTCTCAATTCTTTGAAGCTGGAAATAAACTTGTGATTCTGGGAAGACGTCACATTTATTGGTGTACCTGTCTCCAAATATTTTCCAGGAACCTCCAATGGAAGCACTTGTGACTGCCGTCGTTGGAAGAGGGCTTTTGACAGCCATCTATGTTTAGTTTTCAATCACTGTACAATCCAAATTCACTGACTGCCTCTGCTATTACAGATGGATGCTCAGCTCTCCCTCTTCATCTTCAGCAGCTGGTTCCTGTTTGTCTGTCCCCTCTTCCGTTTCTTCCCCTGCCTCCTCTGTTGCGTCGTTTGAAGTGTCCATTTTAGCTTCTTCCTCGTCTTCTTTGCCATCCTTATCGATGGTTGGGGTCTCTTGCAGGCTTTCTTCGGTTGCGTTTGGTTGGGCGTCAATGCCCTTCATGGCGGTATTGTCAGTAGCGATGGTGGGTCCTGCATCATCTTGGGTGTGGCTGCTCTGCGGTGCTTCTTGAGTGCCGTCCTCCGGAGCTGCTGGCCCCTCTTCATCTTCAGGCTGGGCCTTCTCATCTCCTGACTCCCACATCTTCTCTTCCTCCTCCCCTGCTTCCTCGGCGAGTCTCAGGGCCTCCTCTTGAGCCCTCTTTTCCTCGGCCTCTCGCCTCAGTCGCTCCTCTTCCCTCTTCCTGTCCTCCTCATCTTGGAGCTCTTGCTCCTCTTCATCTCGCCTCCTCTGCTCAGCTTCCTCTGCCTCCCTCTTTCTCCTCTCCTCTTCTTCTTGCTCCCTCTGGGCTTCTTCCTCCTCCTGTTTCTTCCGTGCCACCTCCTCTTTGGTCAGCTTCTCCCTGGCCTCGTCCTCCTTGATCTTGGTTTGGAATTCCTCGGCCAGGTTCAGGTGCTCCAGGGCACCCTCGATGCCTTGCAGGCCCTTTTCCACTTCAAGCGCTGGGCGGCCAAGGCTGGCTGAGTCCTCGGCAGCCCCTTGGAACAGGATGCGCAGGGCGGCAGCTTTGTTGACGATGGTACCCGATGTCTCCTCAATGCGCTGTAAGGTTCGCATCAGGGCGCTCAGGGACATCCGGTCCTCAGGGGCCACCTCCATAGAGGTCTGGGCTGACACTCCCTCAGGGGGCTCAGGGGACTGCGGCGTCTTGGCACCTGTGGACTTTTGGCGGGTCAAGGCAGTGGTAACCTTTTGGCCGAGTCCACGGAAGAAGGCTCGGGCGGCACTTGTTTTGGACTCCTCAGGAGTTTTGACCGGTGAAGTGGTGGTTGTGGGCATCATGTCAGAGCGTCGTTTCTTGGCAGGGTTGACTGCATCAACGGTGGTAATTCCAGTCTGAAGGACACAAATCAATAAACCCATCAACAACCCATTAGCAATGCGGATGACAAATGTTAATCATAAGCTGACCTACCGGTACATGTATGTGCACTGTTAACAACACCAAACCTGTGCAAAATGAAAGATTAACCCTAACACTCCTCAATCCTTCACATGTTGGAGGATTGAGGACTGTTAGGGTTAAAGGAACCAGGAAAAAGAAACATTTTTTATAAATGTTACTAAAAACCCTTAAAATTGCATCTTTGGGTTTCAATTGATCTGGTTTTAAATTTTTGTTTTACAATTTAACCCATATTTTGATGCTTTTTTGGTTTTCATGCTGTTATTTGCATATCCATGAGCAGAACTATGATGTCATCCAAGGCATTAAATCTCAATGTTGCACTGACTTGTACACAGAAATTTTTTAGATTTTTTAATCACTGTTATGGCAGATTTCATTTTCTTTGGCCATTTATTGCAGTGTAAGTATATGGCAATAATCCAGCAAAATTCCTTTTCACAGAAATGTTCCCATATAGCAAGTTTGGGGTTCACAATTTGAACATGAAAACATGCAACCTAAACTGTGTCTTCCTGGATTTACATCAAAGCGAAAGCGCCCTCACTTGTCAAGAAATGCTTGGTCAATTTTTAACGTTTGAAAAAGTGCACCGTTCAGTTCCATAACTCAAAAAGATTTCAAACAGTCTTCATACATGGAAGAAGAGTACAGCGATACACCAAAAGTGATTCTAAGAAAAACTCATTTCCTGGATCCTTTAAAGTCAACAGCCACCATAATATAAATCTGGCAAAAGCAACTGGCAAAATAAAGCAAAGCAGAAACTGAAATTAACACAAAAAAGAGGTAAGAAAAGAATGGGTTGTGCAATCTTTCCAATGCTGTGAATGGGATCTGTGAGCCATCCATGTATCTTAGCAATCAAACGTTTAATTACTTCCTTGTACACGTAAAACCTATTCTTACAACACATCATCTTCCAACTGTTCAGTAACCAGACACTTCCATGTATATAGATTTGTATGGCCACAGAATGGCGTAAATGAAGCACAATCAACTGTGGAAATACAGGAAAGTGTTCAGAAAAATCGTTGGATTTTTAAAAATTGTCTGTTGCACTTTCCCCCATTTTTCTGTTGATACAGAAAATTTCAAACTTGCTCCAGTTCCGAGAATGAGTGGGTGTAAATGTACAAGAATTGTTAGATTGCTGTATGTAATGTCAGTGAAATGTAAACTGAACTGAACTGAAATCATAGGGACAGGGCAATATTCTCGATGAAACAGACCCTGAGTGCAAGCAGTGATGTCTTTGCTATGGTGTGGTAATATGAACAGGTCATCCAAATTAACATATTCTGTTGAAAAATCAAAGTTCATCAGCTCTAGCACTACTGAAGGAGTGCAATTTATACACTCCAAAAAATAACGTTCCTTTGCAGTTATCAATATGTCATCTTTGCAGGATTAGTATTTGAAACTATGCCAACACAATAACAGACATGTGCAGGTAAAAGGGGCTGGTAGGCATCTGATCCATACCGAATGAACATGAATTTGTAGCTGAACAAAATTAGTAATGATAATGGTGAAGGAAATTCTAGGTCAGTAAGTAACGATACCGGATTTGTATGGGATAAAAGGAAACTCGAAGTCCAAGAAACAACATACATGCAGAGGAATTCCTCGAAATTCACCCCGCGGCAGATAGCACATACAGTGCTCAGGAGGAAAACTTAAATTTCCTTTGACGTTATGCTTTCGTTAATTATGTGATCACTATAGACTAATCCAATTAGACACCACAACTGCAGTGGCACTGCACTCACACGCACATTTTTCAGTTGGACGCACACGTGCATTTGACAAATCACGACACCCTATTGGTCGAAGAGGCATGTAACGCGCGCGTACCCCCTGCCCACAAGCGTTGTGCCATCGCAGTAATGGCTTCTCATTCTAGTGGTCGAATTACAGTATAGAGACTAGTACTGTAAAACCTCTCCTGGGTATTCTCATTCCCGATGCCCACAAGTGAACTTAAAAGCACTGAAATTAATATTTATCTTCAATAACGTAAGGGATACAACATGTGCCAAATCCTTTACTTTCCTAAAGGGCAATGTTGAGTGCCCTTTCGGTGACCTGGTATTGCATGCTTTCAAAATAACTTTAAAAAGCTGAATGTATCAATTTAGAGTCATTAACTGGTCAAACTTTTACACAAAGACATGCTTTCGTGCATGTACTTTGTGATAGGAAATGTCCAAAATGGGGAGAAAATGTAGATTTCTGTTCCACGCCTTTGGCTGCAGCAGCCACTAATACCTGCCACTGGAGTGTGGCTGGGGCAGCTGGTTTCCGTAAGCAAACATATATTATGAAGCCACTGCCAAGACTTTCAGCCATTTGTAAAGAACATTATAAGCTTAAGTGTGTAAATACGTATACATACATGTACCGACATGTACTGGAACAATGGTGGACCTCCAAGTATCCCCAATCTGTTCATACTTTTAGCGAAAGGCTCCACAGGATTTTATATGCATTTTCCCAACAAAGGATTCTCAGTCACGCAATTTTTGACTGTCAGCGCTCAATTCACAAGATGACAACTTACAAACAAAATGCCTTCAAAGTCTCTCAACCTTCTGGCACACATGAAACTGCTAACAGAAAATAGACCGATTCTAAAATGCCCACACCTGCGCGGACATGGTATGCTTCCTCATCATATTACTTGTACATGTACAAAAACCTCATTGCCCATTGCCAGTGACTCAAGGCATGAGATGCCAACGCATATGATATCGTCACTGGATTAATGTACAGTGTACATCGGTACATGTACATGACTGGAAATGTCCTAGGAACCACATGTACTGCATGTATGTACATGGATACAATTCAAACGTATCTCCTGTCTGGAATTCTTTACAGGAAACTCTTTAGAGGGAGATTACAACTGCTGTTGACAGGGCTTCTGAAAGTTAGCAATCAGAATTAATTGTAAAACTGACCAAAAATAATGAAAGGTGGGATGACTAAAAGAAATAATGCCAGAAAGGAGAGTTTTCACCATGGCCATTAAACATGTAGATCCCTCCCCCTACCCCAAAAAAGTGAAAATAACATTTACATCTTGTAAAACTTTTTGCCTTGGTACCTGCTGCTCATCTGAATCGAACTAGCCATCCCACTTGGCAGTGATCATGTGGTAGGACATCTGCACTAGTAAGCAGGAGGCCATGGGTTCCAATCCCATCTCAGTGAGCTTGTGATTGTTTTCAACAGGCCTCCAGACACCACTGAATAAACAGTGTTTCAATACATAAGCGTATACATGTATGGTGGTGAAGGGTAAAACATCTTTAACAGTGCAAGGCTCATTCCTGAACACTTTACAGATGTGGATATGACCTCCAATATGGCTTCAGGTGAAAACCCTCCATGCTTGTACCAGCAGCAATAAACACATTTTGACAACAGAAGCAGACGTATGAAGCACAGTGTTCCTGGATACTAAAAGCTAAAACCAAGGGTAAGACATGAATGATGTGAAAAGTAAATGCTCCTGTTCAACGTTAATAAATTTGAAGGTGTTTCCTTTTACTGTACCTCGATATCATTCGTTGGAAATAAGTCTCCATTACCTTCCGACATAGACTGGGATGAGCAACGTTGGGAGAGACGGAAATAAAGGAAAGTAAGTGGTGGAAACTAAATGAAAACTAAATTTCTGCCATCTACAGTTATCAGGTGAAATGGGGAGAACTGAATACCATTTTCTAAATATTAAGCAGTAATTCAAGATGCACGGTAAGCTCTTTCATTCATACAGCAACAAAATATATTGTGCAATTTTTCTTTTTTCTTTTTTTGGCAAAACACATTTTCACACTAAAATTGTTTAATGACGCAGATAGCAAAATCATTCTGGCAAACAAAATAAGAGTCCTATTCAGTACAGCGTATAAACTTTTCCAGAGTGTGAAATTACAGTCAGACTTCTGCCATTTTCTGACCAATTTTGGTACTTTTCCAAGTAAAGATGAAGTGGATGGGCAATATGTCACAAGGAAATATAGAGTCAGAAGTCCCTAATGCAAAGTCTTGTTGGTGTTTTTGTTCTAGCTGTTGTGCTTAAACCTATAAAAATGTGTTCTCATATGACTTTGTCCTGTCAGAAACTGGTCACGGCTGAATGAAACTGACCATGCTCGTACATGTATGTTTTGTCCAGCCTAATTTCACTCACTGGATCCCCTTGACAATGGAATAAACAGAAAAGCCTTTGATGGTATGACGACTTTTCCCAGTTCTGAATGAAGGAGAGAGGGCACTCACTGCCAAAATAAAGTGTTTCAGTAAAATATGAAACTGGATAAGGTAGAGCATTTTTCTTCTTCAAAGAAATGACATACAAAATCTTTTTGATGTGTCACTTGTTCACGTTTGCCTTCGGATAAGGTAAGTGCACATGAAACGTCACGATATCACACGTTATTGGGCAAGTTAGGCTGCAGGCAGAAGTGCAATGATTCCTTCAGTCATGCAGGGTGTGGACAGGGCGATGGTGCAAATGTTCAAATCATTTCTAGCAAATACAGCCCTCTCACTGATTCACTGAAAACACGTACATGAAATAGTGGCCTATCTTTAAGTAACCATGCCATCATGTGGTACTCTGACACCATCTAATCGGACCCCACAGCCAAGGCGTTTCTGCTGAGGGATACTTACGGTTCTGGGTCGTTTGCTGGGAGCTCGGCGACCTTTGCACTTGGGTCTGGTTTTATTGAGATGTTGTAAGGCTGGGGACTGCACCATCACTTCGTCCAACTGTCAGGCAGAAAAAGTGTAATAAATCTTTCCAGCCCCAGTTGGACCTTCCCTGACTACTACAAATGTCAACTCTCTGCAGCACAAAAACTATTTCCTCTTTTTTGCTCTCTCACAAGGGTAGATGGGGGAGGGAGGCAATGGGGCTAGCTCCATCCCCAAGAAGCTCCCCTGCCCTGAATTTTTTTTTTTTTGGTTGAAAAATAATGACAGGGGATTTCTGTCATTCATTTTTCTTTCTTCAAATAGTAAGTAACAAAACCCAAATTGTAAATGTAGCTTCATCCCATAGAAAGGTTATAAAGGTTACATGTACATGAAAAAAATTCCAAATTTCTCCCTCCCCCCAAAAAAATTAGGTTCTGGATTCTCTCCTCTCAGAGGTGCATGAACCTGTACATTCTGGAGTGTTTTGGAGGATGCAGCAGGGCAAATTGAACCAAATTATTGGTACATCAAGCTGAATATTAGATCTAAGGCGTAGTCTTGAACCCACAGAATCACTACAAAAACCTCAAATTTCAGATTTTATTGGAACTCTGGGAAGCTGGGATTACTTTACAGACTTCTTGAACTAAAAATCTTCCTGTTCCAAGGCCACCTTTTCAAAGGCAACCAACGTATATGTACGTACAGGACTCAAGTCACTTCAGATCTCCTTCAACAACAATTATGACAGAACTTTGCTTGTAATAAAGATGCATCAGTCTCCTCAAGCAATCTACTCACTGACAATCTGGCACAGTTTACTGTGGATCAACTGGCCATTTGTATACCCACACTCACATTGAAGTTGATGGTGATGAGGTTGCCTGAGATTGCACTATTGATGTGACTGATCCATGTCTCCTGTTGGCTGGTGTCTTCACATGACAGCATCCACTAGACAATAGAAAAACAGTGCATCGAAGTGCACCTATGTAAATAATATCATGACTACAAGCCAATTCAACTTTCTATTCTCCACCGATACCGTTGTTTGGGAAGCGTGCAATACATGCCCCTACATGTAACACTGGATCATCTGGGAAATTCCATGAAAAGGTTCACTTCAGTCATGTTCATTATGCTCACAAGGAAAGCATTTTCTCTACAACCGTTCAATAAAATTGTGTAAAATTTGATGTGTACAGTATATCACTGATAGTTAAATGTGTCTGATAAACTCAGTACAAATTGTTTGGAGACTGCCAATTCTACTGTTCAATGATTTGAATTACAAACTAACTGTCTGAATATCATGCCCGTTTAAGCTGGAATTGACCATCTACAAGTTCCGGATCAAACCATAGTTTTAAGTTGATGACCTCCATGATGTTATGAGGTGAATGTACATCATATTTGGAATTTTCTTATAATTGACAGGTACATGTATTGTACATGTGTGTGGACCAAGAGAAGACATGTCTGTGATCTACATCTACATGTACTGTACATCAAAAGTTACTGAATTACATGTACATGTACTGTACATGTACGTGATGCAAATCAAACTGTAATAACATGGGTTAAGGCTTGCTTGACTGCACTCACAGAATGAGCCTCGAGCTGGACCACGAGAGGGCACAATTTTCTCAGCAATGGGGGCTTTATTAGTCAGAACTGAACTTCACCAGTCCATGAACAGCTAGGAAATGCAAGCCTTACGGTCACATCACTGCCAACAAAATGGACCCTCCCGACCAATATAGCTCGTTTCAACCAATGAGGGTGTGCTTCTGCTCAGGGCAGATAGAGCGGAGCACGTATCAATTGAAACAACTTGCAATACAACTTGCATACATACATGCACACACCGGTGGGCCGATACATGTTTGTGTGCACAGTTGGGATTGTGGCTGTACTCTGTTAAACTTTGTTATAGAAATAAAAACATGGCCCTTGGTGACAATATTTGAGGGAAGTGTCCAGTATCTGCATGTCCTTTCCTAGCAAAGGTTAAAAACCACCAGGCCACTCCCAATGACACTTTCCAAACTGTAAGCCCTTGGTGCTATCTGACCCCCATTTCCATTAGGCCCAGGGGTTTCAAAATGAGCCACCCACTGGCAAGTATTTGACTGGCTACTTGAACTTTTGCACCTGTTACTTTTTTTCCAGTCATGAAAAAAAAACATACATGTACATGTAGACCCCACACAATTAGGGGCTGGGACTCACTGCCCCCTACTTTCATCCATCTGCCTGCTACTCAGAAACATTTAGAAATCCCTGATTTTAGAAGTAGACACAAAGATTTAGTCAATAATGTTTCAATGAAGGTTAACGTTTAAAAAGAATGATGGTTTGTGAACTTTTCCAAGCAACAACTGCCTGTCCAAACTTACGCCTGTCCTCAAGACTGGTGATAGATGAGACACTGTCAAGTTGTCTTGTACCTTGACTTCACAGCTACGTATACAAACAAGTAACAATAAACATATATGGTATCTGTACCTGTTCATATGTAGGGTCAATCGGTATGATGGTAAGGCTGGGCTTCTTTCGTCCCCTCTTGTCTACAATGTGGGTACACTCTTTGTACTTGCTGAGATAGATCGTGTAGCTTTCGTCTTCTCCTCTTCCATTCTCGTCCTGGATCCAAATGGGAGAAATTGCCAAAAACAGAAGAAAAAAAAAGAAATTCAGCTTAATAGTTTCACTCTTGTCTGTGCATAGTCACACATCACTACAGATCCTGCACAATAACAACTACCTCAGAGGTTAAAGTTCAAATGTAATAAATGACACATATTGAGGCAGAAATTCCATTCTGCAACCCCATTCACCTTGTCACACAATCACACAATACAAGGTTTAATTCCTGAAGCTGCTAGATCAGCAGCTCAGCAAACTTAACGCGGTGTAGCACCAAACATCTGAGAGCAAGTCGGCAGCAATGTGCACTGTATTTATGACACTCTGGTCCTCTAGGCTTTATGAAAATGATTTGACGTCCCTTTTAAGATACAATGGCACTGGAAAGTACAGTTTTAAACATTCAGAATTGTCTGTGCTTTCCTGCACAACTGAGGGCACTGTTGTTGTGACTTCATCCGGGAAATGTACATGTATCAGTGAACAGGTTTGTTTTTGTTCAAATTGTTAAATCAGAATTTACTCAGTGGGAACGTTTTTGAGAAAGGGTTGCTTGTTTGCATAATGCTGTGTACTTAGCCAACAATTAATTACCCAAAGAAAGGAAACTTTAGGCAAGCTAAATCCAGACAGTTCTGCAGTTTTTGTACACAACTAATTTTAACAGTGAAGTACATGTTTCAGTACGTGTGTATTTTGTGTGCATTCAGATGAAAAGTTTACATGATCAACATTCATACTCCAACCCATCGTGCTGTTCTCAAGAACCTGCGCACTACTCTTCCAATGATTCAGGGTTGCCAGGGCCACCCAAAGGACTACTCCCCAATCTTCTCCACCCCCTTTCTCCTCCCCAACCCTCAATGCCCTCAGGCTTAATTACGGAGTACATGTAGTTTATGGGCCACTGTACACATTCAGATCAAAAGTCAGGCATTACACCCTGTGCCACACACTGACAAACCAGGACACACCAAACAATGGCTACAAAGAATGGCTACATGCACTGTTTGCCATGTACAAGGGTTTATCCACTATAAACACAGGGCAAGGGTTCCCCTCGTTTTCTCTGTTTTGTCCGAATGGCGCAATCTACATTCAGCATGTTCAGAATTGTATCTTGGCATGAACAGCAAAAACCCTTTTTAGCTTGTTATAGTTCAGCTCTGAAGACAAACAACACTACATTCGATTTGGATGCTTCCATTATTTATTTGAACAGATAAATCAGAGAAAACATGTTTTCCTTTCAGTTGCTCTTTAAACTTACACTACATGTACATGTTCTGGGTCTCTTCTGACTCTGGTAATTCCCTCTCCCAAATTTGGTGATCATAGTGGAACCTCCTTCTTTTCCAGCCCCTGTTCCTTATAAAATCACACCAACAGAGCCCAGTTGCAGCATACACATCTCCAGGCCTTATGAGTTCCACATGTTTAAGCAAGGCATGTATGCAGCTTTAAAATGTAAAACCGCCATGCCATTTCCTAAATTGTTTTGTCTTTCCGAACAGCATGTTAATGAAAAGTACAGATGTGTACTAGTATTTGCTTTTAAATGAGAACAAATGGTGCACAGTTGTTGTACCTCACTGTATCTGTGTGTCATGACATGTGACAAGTTCACCGACTTGCAGTATATTGCGCAAATACTCCACAACAATCAGCAAGCTCTTGTTGGACTAGGTCAAGTCTAGCTACATCCCAGATGCACTACCCATTAATCATCCTGGTATCTCAATTCTCTTGGCACTTCAATAACGGGCACATGCCTCTCTCAGCTTCAGGAGTTGGGACATAACTCCTCATGCCCAATTGCAGCCAGGGATGGAATGTGCCTGTCACATTTGGAACCTATTCTAGTTTTCCAGAGTTTTCTTCAGAGCATGTGATGAAGAAGCAACAAAGACTCAACAAGGTTGTGTGCACGAGTATACATGTACATGTACATGTTCCTGTATACTGGGTACATGTACATGTACAGTGTACACAAAGTCATCTGTAAAGTATAAATGCATGCATCCCTTGCTGATGATTCAACACTGATTGACACTGCATATGACTGAAATGAAAATGTCTTCTCGATTTCCTGTTGCAGTAAAAGTTAATGATGTTCACGACATTTAAATTTAATTGTCAAACTTGGGGCCCGGCTGACTGGCTACGGGCACATGAATGAAGGTTCGGAAATTTCCTCTCTAATTTCATTTGCCTCTGAAATTTCACATTATTCAACTTTTTTCTTCTCTAATTTCACGTGACACTTAAATTTCATTTTTACATTCTTACCGATGTATTGGCAACCAATACATGTACATAATATAATATGCTTTATCGGGCAATAACTTGTGGCATTGTTTTGTCAGTTCCCTATCTTCTCCCCAGAGAAGATAGACTTGGTTTTGTAATTTGTACGTCAACCAGTGGTCACTGAATTTCAGTCTAAATACAACACAGAATCACTTTTGTTCGTATCTCTCGTGCCAGAATGCGATGTGCACAGTGCTATGAAGCTTACCGGTACATGTATATTACATATCCAAGTATGTAAATGCACAGTACTGTAAAACCTACATGTACATGTGTACATTGGGTGAAAATTCAACTAAAGCAACAAGGAGACAATGTCTACCGGTGGTGCAGATGATGCCCTCTTGAAGTGTAAATATGCAACAAACATACATACCGGTATACTCGATGCCTACAGTACCAGGTACAAAAGGATAAAAGAACCTACCGGTAGCCCATTTTAAAATCACATTCCAGACCTTCTTTTTAGCATACTTTTTTTATATCTATTGTACAGTAAATACACACCAAACACATGCCCATGTATAACTACATGTACATGTACATGTACATGTATGTATGTTTCCCATGCTAACATTGTACAACGCACTTAAATACTGGTATTGTACGAGTGTGGCACTGTTATGGACCAGAGGTGTCACTTTCTTGTGGTTAGACTGAACTGAATTGAATGACCTCCTCTACACATCCTTCCATGCAAATAACACTACACATAGTCACATAAAGTATGTACATTCAGAGAGTGAAGGCAAATATTCAGAATGAACAATACGAAAGATTGGGCTGACCTTTTAAGGGTCAGCTTTGGAATTTGTAGCTGTACAATTTTTTGAAAGTTCTGTGAATAAGTGAGTGTGAATAAAATTTTAACTATTAGTGCTGATGATCGAAACCTCCACAAATGTACATGTCCAAGTATGCATACTGCAGAAGAACTGAGGACCTTATAAAAGTTTCTGGTAATTTGGTACATATACCTGTCCGTGCATGACAAATCATTCAATACGTATATACATGTACATGGATGGTTACTGTTAAAAGTTCATTGGAGAGGCGAGGCTACGATTTGGTGAGTGGGCTCGGTGAAATTGCACAGGGCAGGCCTCAGAGGTCATCCTTCTGAGTCACACATTTATTATGCCAATTTTTAAATCAAATTGACACTATCACATTGGACAATGTGCAGGACAAGGAAGGGAATACAGAGACTTGTTAACAGATGGCAGTGATCAAATACATGTACCTCCAAACTTCTACTATACTCCTAAAATGTTCTTTTCACACCAAGACCTCCAAACTTCGCTGACATACACAATCCCCTTGACTCAAGGATATTTATTCTAGAAACATGAAACAGTAGCAGGCAGCCCCAGAAAGAACAGCTGCCCAAAAAGTTATCTTGGCAGCTGTTCGGTAGCTGAAGATGAGATGCCCACTGATAACTGCTCCACAGCTGTCCAGCTTGTCCCCAACTGTTTATAAATTCTTTACTATTTATAGCCAATGAGGGAACAAATGACTGGACCCCTGTAAAATACTCTCAACACTGGCTGATTGCAAGTTGAATTCGTCCTTTAATGCACGAAGATATTGGCTGCTTTGAGACGCTTAAATTAAAGGCATATCTTGAACAGTGGCTCTTTACGCAATTGGTACGTGTAGTACACGTACATGGTTTACTGGTTTGTGTGTACATACATGCACATATGTACATGTACATGTATACCGTCAACATTTTGCATGCATTTCTGCCGTACGATGGGGACTGCAAACAACTCTAGCAATTTTGTTCAAGTACAATTCCACCAAATTCCCATCGTGAAGCGACATGTAGGATCTGCGTATCAAGTAAAGTGTTTTGTACATGTAAACTATGTTGCCAATAACTTACAACGTTGACCTTAGATAGCAAACCTTTTACAGCACCTGCCACTTGCATATGACATTCCATGAAAATGGTCTAAACGCTTTTAAACCAGGTGTTAATTTCTTGCGCAAGAAATATCAATGGAAAAACCATTAGCCCATGGCAAAAAAGAAAAAAACATAAAACAATTACAAACCGAGCAAAAGTTTAAAGGGGATTGCTTCCGCCTCCTCCAAGCTTGACTTCAATCTGAAATCTGATTGGCTGTGGCAAGTTTAGCTAATAAGACAGCCAATTCTACACATTTAAATATGTATACATGTATGTATACCGTATATTTACATACATGTACATGTAAAGAACGGCCCCATCTAGACAATTAACTTACATGCCCCTCATACAGGTGCAGCGTGTCCTGCTTCAGCACAGCGTACTTCTTTTTCCACTTCCCCTCCCCTTTGCGTCCCTTGCTGGACCGCTTCAGGTTGACCACTCCGCTCATGCCCTCGCTGGGGATGAACTTCTGGGCTGCCGGCATGTCGCCAGAATTTGGTATGTGCGGCTGGAGTCGGAGACTAAGCTTACACCAACCAGCTGCTTACACCAACCAGCTGCTTGGATGGACTGATGGTGGGATCAGCTACAATTTACTTGCACTGCAGACCTACAGCTATAATGAGTTGAAAAAATAGAACTGATTTTTAGAAATCTGCAAACATGTTCTGCCGTCAATATTACTTAGATTTTTTATGAAGGCAGTGGGACACATTTACATGGTGTAAGAGTACATTTACAAATTTGTATCATGGTCGTACATGTCCGGAAACAATGTACGTGTACATGATTACACTTGTGACAATGGGTGTACATGTATACATACATGTACCGTAAGTTATGCATGTACATGTATACCAGATAGTTATTCTACAAAAGACATTCACAATTCTGAAGACAAATGCCTTTTGATCATAATCAAACCCCTCACATTTGTAAAAGGAGTGAATAAATTGATATGGCAGCACACACAAAGTATATGCCATGTACATGTGCATTTCCTGTATAGGGGATAATCTCAACTGATGGAGGTACATGTACATTGTACATACAAAATGCATTCAAACTAATTCTGGTACGAAGATTTTCTGCTGCTGCAAGTAGTTTTGTTAATAGAGGCTATTTCTACCAGTAGACCAGCGCATTGTACTAGCACATGCACGGAGGTACCAGTACCGTAGGAAAAGTACATGACCCTGCATGCGCGGATCCATGTATATGTACATGTACATACGTGTACAATACATGTCTGCAGAGATTTTGTCCCAGGCATTCTAAAGTACCCATGACCTGAGCAGCTTGGGTCAACTTAACTTAGGTATAATACACTGCTGGAACTGCATTGAAATTATGTGAAAGCTTGGCAAAAAGTGAATTCAAGGAGTGCCCTATGGGCATTACTGGCAGTAGACCTTGCCAAGGTACAAAATCAATGTCAGTTCTAAATGTAGATGTACATGTACCGGTAGATGTATATTTGCATGACACAATACAGTGTACCAGTACATGTACCTTAAGTGTGGTATATAACCTTCGGGAAAATTCACAACAAATGAATGCCAAAATGTGGGAAAATGAAATGGAAATTTAAATCACCATAAACTGATAGCAATACAATATACTGTTCTATAAAAAAGTAACCCAACGGAATACCGCAGAAAACAAAAACATACATGTACATGAACCGGTATAGCCAAGCACTGTACATTTCATGTACAGTCCTGTACATGTAGGCCTATACATGTACATGTATACGTGCCAGTTGACCACAGTACAAAAGAGAGACCAGAGAAGTGAGCCTTAAAAACAAACAAGACCAAAGAACAGGGGAACATGAAGAAGAACTTGTGCTACATGCATGTTTCAGTTTCTGCCATGACAAAAGCACAGAGGATGGCAATATGCCCTAAGAAGATTCACAGGGTGACCGGTAGTGCAGAAATGGCTTTAATGAATGAACTCCAGATGTATGATGTATTATACATCATTACATGATCAGCCTACCAGAGCCGCTCATTGACTGGTCCTAATCAAAGTGAAGTATACATGTACTTAGGCAGCGTGACGTCAAAATGATCGCCACTAGATCAAGAATAGACGAATTTTGATAAGATGTAGCATTGATGATTTTTAATGATTTGTAATGTATTAATTCTGTATTTTAATTATAATTCAGTATATGTACGTTTAGAATCCTAATTTTTGTATGTTTTTTAATGAGGCTTGTATGCAGAGATGTAATTTCCTTTGAGATTAAAAAAATAACTATGAACTATGAACTAAATAATACACACTATTAATTAACACTGGCAACCCTAATGCTCATTTGCATAATACCATACACGGTACTGGTACAAGGTAATAGGTACACACGTGTACATGTACCACCATTGGAGGCTGCTTTCACGGTCTCACTAATCAAAGGGGTGACCCTGCCCTTGCTTTCCAGCTGATGGATCAAGCAAAATGTTCACCCTGCTCAAGGTCTTGCACAACAAAACACTACATGTACATTTGATTTATAGCCTTGGTAGTCTATTCTGTTAGTAGACAAAAATCAATGCTGGAAGCCACACATACACTGTAGGAAGAGCAGGATGATTAACATGCATTGAAAGCCATGTGCAGATACACCTGTACACAATGAACTGGTTCATGTGGAATACCCCTGACGCATACAGGAATGTCCTGTACATGTACAATGTACATGTATTTGCATATGTACAAAAGTATGAATGAAACGGTATGTCACATACATGTACAGGGTTATAGAGAAACTTGCATAGTGGTGTTTTTGACAGTTTACAAGATTTTTTAGAAGAAAGAACATGCACTAAAAGTACATTTGCTGTAGCTATCACATCCTTTTTTAACCAAGCATGAATACATTTTTTAGGGTACATGTAACAAAGGTTCAATGCAAGTTCAAACATAATAATGACAATAAAGTACCTGCAGAGTGTACGGTACTATAGCTAAATAGGGAAGTCTTAAGTTGAGCCTATGTTTGTTCTTAGGGGCCACATCCAGGGTTGTAAAAGTATACATATGTATGCTGCAATGCACTGAAGATGTCAAATCAATTCCTTTTAAATTTCAAAAAACAGTGACAGATTTACCCTTATTTTGTTCCCCTCTCTGTTCCCCATTCAGAGCACAATTTCCTTCTTCTCAAGACCTGGATCTAGGAAGCCTGGCAAAACTGGTTGCACGCATGGTTAAAGGGAAAGAGGTGACAGACTGCATTTCAAAATCAAATTGAGTGATGCGAGTGCCACGTGGCTGAAGTGTAGTGACTACAGACAAACAGCTACATGTCACCACGTCAGTGACTCACTTTCGGGTGGTGCATCTCAATTTCAGTCTTTTATTCCCCTGCACAAATGATTTATGGTTTTCAAAAAAAAAGATTTTTTGGAACTGAACACTCAGAACTAGTGGAAGAAATTTCTGAAGTAACCAATGGAAGAACATGGATCCATTAAATGTAAGATGTTTTTAAGTCATTCAACTACATGTACACTGTAGGCCTACTAGGACTGTACTGACACATTCTCAGCCTCTGGCCATGTTCCAACTTTGTGTTCACTTAAAGCTTCAACTTAGCCACAGCCACTCCCAGGGTTCCAGCAGGCAAATTTTAAATAATACCCAGTGTTTATGCTCTGTTGCACATTTCTGAAGCCACAGACTTTTTCATGCAGTGCTAAATACAACTTTTGTCAGGACTGCTGACTGCTTAGGATTATAGGCAAAGTTTGTAAATACAGCATTAGCCATTTTGCCACAGCAATGGTAGTGACGCAACTGTTGCCCTAGAACTGTCCAAGGGCAGATCCAGGAGCCAAGAGGTCCAAGCCCTCCCCCAGCCCCTTTTTTTGTAAATATAGAGAAAGGTGATTTTTTGAATTACAATTCATTTCTCTTCCTTCTAAATACATGTGAAAAGACCCAAAATGTAGCCTCCCCCTCGGAAAGGCCATAAAGTTTTCACGAATACATTTTTGGCCCCACAAAAAACACATTTGGCACTCCAACAAATTGGTTTTGGATCCTTCTTCGGAGCTGTCACCAGCTGTATCTGGCGATGGGGTTACCTTTGGGGAGTTTTACATGCTTTGCGATATCACAAGTACCCGTAACTGTCCCCCAAACTCACCCCCTCTCTCATTATATTACAACAAAAAATGTCTACCTCTTTGGGGACATGGTCTCAATTGCCTCCCCCCTCCCGGATCCACCAATGGATACACACATATTCAGTGTGATTACATAATAGATGCAAAATATTACATCACACAAAGTGCAGCCATATGACAGACTATCCATTACCTTGCATTCATAAATACATGTATCTCAGTTTCCCTATTCAACAACACCCAACGTGGTTGAGTACTAATATTTGATAATAATGCCCACTGTGTAAAAACACGCTGGAACCTGGATACAAGACAAATTAATCCATTCCTATTGGTCAAGAGTCTGTGGGCACCGCAACACGTACATGTAGAACTCACCATGCCGACATGAGGTCCATATAAGCACATTCTTCTGAACTATGATACTTGCACAAGGAATATACCACAAAATGGACGGGGGTGTTTGGGAGAATGAAAGTAAAATTCTTGAAAAAGTCCCCGCAAGTTTATCATATATTGACTTCTCTTGACTCTTTGACTGACATAATGTTTACGAATGGGAATAAATACATGTGTGTGCTCCAGCAGTCTTAAACTAACGTTCAAGACCAGATCAGGAGAATGAACACTGACAATGCCCTCGCCTGCAGCTCAGCCATTAGTCACGTCCATTCTCCATAGCAGGTCTCAAATGCACACTTAAGACTGACAAAGCTCATATTTATTCCCTTTTTAGTACATGTTCATTTTGCACAATTTATGTTTCATTTAAAGTATGGTTTACACAGCAATTAACATACTTAAATACTAGTTATTACACGAGCGCAAGTGGAACACGGAGTAAGGTGGTGCATCTGTGTCCTATACATGCCACTCGGCCAAATACAGGACACAGACACAAACATTTCCCTGTGCAGGACAAATATAAAAGGAGTAAGTCCACCGTAACAACTCTAATGCCATAAATTTGAGGGGGAATAAAAAGCAGCACAAAAAATTGGCATTGTTGCTCTGAGCTAAGTAGGCGACCTGGGAAAGTTTGCCTCACAGCAAAGGCAGGCAAGGACATTCACAGGGTATGGCCAGGGCTCAATTTACAAAAAAAAGTGGCATGCACTGGTGCATGTAGACCAAAAAACCTACATGAACATGCACCAGGAAAAACCTACATGCACCAGGAAAAACCTACATGCACCATAATTTTGCGAATATCGGTAGGCCTAACGCATATTCCTGTATATAGAAAGTTAAGGATTATAAGCCAAAAGAAAAGGTTAGGTGTGTAGGTGTATTATGAATCTGCTGCGAGGAATGGGAGAAAGACATAACACGTTCGTACACTATCTGGTCCAGAATTCAACAAACGTTATTCTTATTCTCGCTTATTGGTAAATATGCAGGAAATAAGTATTTTGATGGTTAAAATGTTATATGCACGTTGTGCATGCTCAATAAAAAAGCTATGTGCACATAGCAAAAATCTACATGTACATGCACTGGTACATGCATGCACCGGGTAAATCGAGCCCTGGATATGGCAAACAATATGGCTACTGATATCACCCTTTATTGTCCTATTTTATAGGTGACAAATGTACTTACCTCTCTTATATTGCCCACTACATGTACATGTACATGGGCAGCCAAAGTTTGCAGAAATATTACCCTTGGCTGGTGTAATATTTAAACTCAAAATGTATGCACATGTACACAAGTACTGTACATGTGTCACTTGCCAAGTTGTTTTCAGAGTCATAGTTGCATTCAGTATTATAAACTGGTTGTTTTTATAATTTATATTTCTTTAATTTGATAGCTGCATTAGCATTAGATATTTTTAATCTTGGTAAACTGTTCTTTTCCTTTTAATGTCCAGCCACAGCATTAACAGCCCGTGGTAGGCACAAAATTGGCTGTAATGTATGAAGAGCAGAGGGTAGCTACTGGTACAGGGGCATAATACGCGTACATGGTGTTTTATCATGACGCAAGGAATCTTGGTTATCATATTAATTTATTGCCGATAAAACTTCTCAAAATAACACAAGTAATAAAATATGCCAAAGTTTTGAGAAACACTGGGAAAAAAAACGTTTTTCTTTTGTGTGTTTCTGTTTTGATTTTTGTTTCCTGTTTTGTTATGGGCCATCAGAAGTAGAGCCGTACAGGTACATGAACAGGTAATGTTAGTCACGATACAATGTACATGTTCATGTACATGTACACTCACTGCATTGTTCGATTCACATGTAATTTCAAACACTACTAAGTCCACAATGCTGCCTCCATGTGAGTATCACATCATGTATGTAAATAACATCTAACACATATGTACAATGAAACTTTTCATTCTTCAAAACTCTTTGAATTTGTGAAAAAAAAGAAGAAAAATAAATGACACAATGACTCAGTGAACTCTAGATCATTCTCAAGCAGTGGCTTCCATGCCTTGCGTATTATTTGGATTCACCCCAGGGGTACCCCTACCGGTAGTACGTGTACTATGTAGCCTGAGAAAGTTTTGAAAGAGTTCCATAACTTATTACGGACAATGCTTGATGCCCCTGTGCACAAACCTATGAGATTTTCTCTGAAAATACCTCAGAGTTTTCTAAGTAAATGTTTGGGAATTTTCCTAGTTAAATTTCACTTTTTAGGACGTGTTATCACTTTCTAATGACTGTTGTAACATATTAAGGGAAAATTAGTGTTGTCTGTATGTAGAACTCTGTCCACAAGTTTAATGGCTCTGAAAGAACTAGGCCTACCGGTAGCCCAGCCTAATGATCTGCATATTCGACTATGTGATATCAAAGGTCTGCGAATTAGGAGCACAACGAATAGCCAAATATGTTCGTGGGGTAACTGCATGATGAGGATGTTCCTTTTTAAAAGTTTGGACTAACGTTAGCGAATCACTCATCAGTCCTGTCAGCAGGACCAGTACCAGTACATGTACGGGTACGGTGCGAGTGGTCAGGTTTGCATGACTTCTTGACACTGACAGTTACCTGCGCTACTCGACATGCTCGATTTTTCCTATCTCAATGCTGCGTAATTTGTCGATATTCTGCCATCAGTGGATAACCTACATGCGAGTAGGCCTATATTCCAAGATTTCCCATTCACCGTTGATGTAGCCCTGCCCGATCGTGCAGATTACTCGATCGTTTTTGCCCAGACAGACGGCAAGGACTACTGCTCTAACATGTCCATGCCTTGACCACTGATCACTTAACTATCCTGCCCTATGCATGCGGATCAAGAGAGGGATCACTGCTTCGCACTAATCGCAGATGTCAACAAAGCTGTGGCCCTGTGCTACCTTACCTTGCCAATTGGTTACAAACTCGGTGTTAAAAATAACGTTAATCAAGCTGAGTAGTTCAAAATTACAACTTCAGCAAAAACATCGATGGCCTGCCCTGAGCACTGATGAGGTTGAAACAGCGAGAGTTCTCATCATATTAGCCAAGGAAATGGGACACGCGGCGGCCGGCGATAGACTGGCATGTTCTACAGCATTCCTCACTCACTCAAGGCTTGGCCGGCCGGCCCTGCCTATGACCTCAGTCTGAAGCAATTAAATTTCCACGGTAATCTGTGGTATGGTTATACACGTAGGATTGAAAGGAATGTGGACCCGAAAGGCAGTGGAAAACCAGTCATGTTTTGGACAGCCCCTACGCTGTGTGCGCGCAGCGCCCTCTTATGCCTTGATAGTTTCCCCCTAAGGTGGGAGGGGTTCAAGTTTTTAATGGGGAGGGGCTTATCAAAGCCTTATTTTCTTGAAGATGGAGAAATAAAATAAGTAAAATGAAGCTAAAAGGCATGTATATGCGTAACCTTAAGAAAAACGAAGACGCCTGTTCTGATGATCAGAATGATATGTTTGTGAAAAAGGTTGGCATCGGCAATTACCATTATTTGGGGTTTGTCACTGGGGAGCGTCGTGGGCGTGATGAACCCCATAGCTCTCAGGATAACTGGCACTATGATTCAAAATATTCTATGTGCCCCGAATGGGTACAAAGAAACACGGGAAAATTATTCATATTGATATTATCTTATACAGTTGTTCCTCATCTAATCTTGGATATTACTATGCTTTGCTATGATATTTTTATGATTATTATACCGGCACTTATTTTATTTATTTTTGGGGTACTGGTGAGTACCGTAAGTGAATTTGCTCCATTGTTCGTCAGTCACGCCGTTATCCAATGCATGTTTGGTGATATTTTTTAGTGAGCGGCGACTGACCGCGTCGCCCAATAGCGCTGGCTCCGGGAGAAAGAAACACACGTCTATGCAGCGGCATGGCTGGGGGGGGCGGACCCCTATGAAAAATCGTCGACCCCTGTCGCCCCCACTTGATGTGATCACGATTAAGTATATGTATATTTCCCAACGTCCAGTCAGCTTCCTCCTACCTTTAGCGTGAAGCCCCACCCCGTGCTCAGAATCCTGGCTACGCCGCTGCGTCTATGGGACATTGTAGCTCCAGGCCAATAGCTTCCATAGACACACACGTTATTTTCAGCAACAGCCAAAGCTTTTCGAATGATGGTCAGTGGAGCGTGTTCTGTTCCCGGCCATAAGGTGGGAGTGGTATGCCTCTAGCTGTTTTTTCTGCTTTCAGTTATAGTTGCCGTGTCCAAAACGGGGCTCCGGAGCTTGGTCTGGGTCTGTAGTTTAGGCTACTCGTTCCGCATATTTCAAATGGAGTGAAGACCTAGACCCAGCTCTTGACAACAGATTCGGACGCATTTCAGGATAAAATTCAATCGACAAGCTGTGACCGCCTGCTTGCATGTTTGACCAATCGCTGTCCCCCATTTCAAACGTCATTAGCGTTTCCGAAACGTTAAATGCTGTAAAGTAGGACTTTCTATTTCATCAAACAAATCCAATTCACCCAAAAATGCAACCGTTGCATCCTTAACGAGTGATCTCATTTAAAAGTTTATTTACAAATGCATATTTCAAAGAAATATTGAAGATGAACAGGGTAAATCGTAGAAATTTTATGCGCGAAGTAATACAGCTCGGGTTATGCGACGAAGACGCTTAGACGAAGTGTAAAAAATCAAACTGTTATCTTCCCGCTCGTTTATTGACTCCAATCTCACTCCGCGGCTTGAACATCACCAAGAGTAGAAGTCTAACGGGGCGAGCGCACACAGAAAAAGCCTCGTGAGTCCTTCGGCTCAATTTGAATGAACTGACTTAACCGGCAGCAACAACAAATGACTCGCCAACTGTCGTCTTGACGAAAGTCCATCTCTTCAAACCGGTGTCGTCATCATTCTGTCTTTTTGCCATCATTGCGGATTTATCCAAATCATGGCCAAACCAACATCAGCAACGTGGGCAGACGGACTGAATTTGTCGGCGCATTCGAAAGCACGCAGCGTACTTCCGAGCGAGACCAAAAGACAATCTTGGATTTCATTGACTTCAGATATCTTTTTAATACGGACTCCGTCATTCTTGTCGTTGGAACTTTAATTGGACAACACCAGTACCAAGCTGGGGCTTACGAATTTAATGTAGTTCGTTTCATGTTGAGCTGCAGTAGAACTCCAAGCGAATAAATTTTTGAAGAACTTTGTGGACTTTTGTGAGCATGTTGGGTCTCGGTTTGCAACGAATAACATTAAAAGGTTGTTTTGCAAAGGTGCAAAAAGAAAGAACGGAAAAAACAGCTTGGGTAAGTCTGATAACATACAGAGCAAGAGGTGAGTGAAACTGAACGCAGGGCTGAGGCAAATGAAAAATGTCTTTTTTTGTGTGTGATAGGCGTGACTTCTTTTTTAGATTTTTTAGGGAAGGCCTTCCAATTTTCGATACGAAAATGTGTCTTCGCACTGCTTTACCAACATTCTTTGTAATGCACATCATAAGGCGACCTGGTTGAATCTTACAGTAACACTCCTGTATGTTTATGCAGCGGTTTTCTTTGTAAAAATGGGTAAGTATGGGTGAAGCCACGCTGATTTGTACTCTTCAGATAACCTAGAAACCTCACGTACACGTGTACGTACACGTACATGTACAGTACATGTATTGTACATGTACATGGCTGGCACGTGGACTATAAACTAGTCAGCGTAGGTTAAAACACGCGCAACTTGGACAATGGGCGTGGCTATAATAGGCTCCGTTAATTCTATTGGATAATAGCTTGAACTTAATTTGCATAGGTATGTGGCCAGGTGCAGAGTGCAATGGGCCGAAAACAATGCGCTTTCACGATCCTCTCGAGAAAAAAAGCACTCTTCAAAAGTTCGTTTACACTTCGTCTGACCATACGGGCAAAATCAGTTGGTTGTTAAAGAGGCCTCCTTGAAATTATTTATTTACTGGTAATAATATCAAGTAACACTTCTTAGTGTGTCAATTATGCAATAATAATTTCTAAAGTAGAATGTAATGTATGAACTTTTATTTTACACTATACTTGTGTAAGGCAGCATTCCAATGGAAAAAAACATCCCACACCGGCAGACATACTAGCAAATCGCCAGTTACCGAAAAAAACGTAGAAAACCACTGCTTTCAAATAAATAATGAAACAATAACTTCGAAATTGATGAAAGCAATAGTTGAAGAGCTTTTGCATTAAAGTTAATAATGTGTAATAACATAATATGGGCGGACGTTTTCTAGAACGTGTATGGCAGTGCCTAGTGCACTGTTTCATTAAGTTACAAGAGGAACAAAAGATATCAGGAGAAAATGCGACAGTCTAATGCAGTCGAAACTGTCACGGTCTTAGGTTCATTGGCACAATAATTATTCATTGGTTGAATGTCTATGTATAGCACTAATATTGAGGAGGTCCTGCTCTCAACACAGAAAGGAAATTCATTGTATAGACAAATGCCACATTTTGGTGCTTATATGATTAGAATTTGACAATGCCTGGTGCGTTGTCGATTTCGGTTTTGAACTTGCATTGTAGTTACATGCAACATGAAGCCATTTATGATAGGGGAAACAAATAACCATGGAGATCCCATGGAGTTCTATTGTTCCACATGGAGGTATTTCATTAATGGGGTAGGTTAGACACTAGGTAGGGAAGCAGCCAGAGCTTTTGCGTGCAATAAGCAGCGACGCCTAGCAGTTGCTTGCGAGAGAGAAAGTCCGAATAGGTGTGCGAGTGTGAGAAGGAAAAGAAATTGAATCCCTGAGTGTTAAATAACAATTATCGCATAGCTTCTGTGCGTCGGTTATCAAATTAGACGTTTATCGGGAATAAAGCAGATAAAAGAGATGGTAATAACACTTTCCACCTAATTTGAAGAAATATCCTAGAAAAAATAATCCCAATACATTACTGTCAAATTCAAGTAAATCTAAATGGAGTAGAAACAAAATCCAAGTGAAATTCGGTGAAGTGAAGTGTAAAGTTTCAATCCAACGTACGTCGAGTAAACCCAAAGTGAAAGTGAAGCCAAAGAAAGTCGAAATAAAGTCAAAACGCTCAAAGTCGGTCAGAGTCGGTTATAGTCAGAGTCAGTGTCAGAGTCAGAGTCGTCCGTGTCAGAGACGTTAGTCTTTTGTCAGTCAGTCATTTCAGTCGTCGATTCAGAGTTGTCAGAGTCCTCAGTCAGTCGTCAGAGTCGTCAGAGTCAGAGTCGTTTGTCAGTCTGTGTCGTCAGAGTCGTCAGAGTCAAAGTCCTCAGTCAGCCGTCAGATTCAGAGTCGTCAGTCAGAGTCGTCAGTCAGTCGTCAGAGTTGTCAGTCAGTGTCGTCAGAGTCGTTCAGAGTCGTCAGTCATTGTCGTCAGAGTCGTCAGTCAGAGTCGTCAGAGTTAGTCGTCTGTCACAGTCTTGAGTCGGTCGTCGGTCAGTCATTTGTCAGTCAGTCCTAGGAGTCGTCAGAGTCAGTGTCAGTTGTAGTCAGAGTCGTCAGAGTCAGTGTCGGTCGTTTTCAGAGTCGTTAGAGTTGTCAGTATGAGTCGTCGTCAGTTGTAAGAGAACGTAAAATCCGGTTTTAATGACTTTGAACAAAATAGATGTGTATTTGTATACAGACTACATAAATATGTATTTCTATTGCCGATAATAATTTGCAAGGTGTTACGATTTATTCGTTGTAAAAGATACCTACAGCTGATGTTCCACCCATCTTTAAACCCAACTATATTAAAAAGATCTTGAAACACAACGACGAGCAAATTGTGGGTGAGAATTATGATGCCTGATGAGTAATAGTGAATTTATTAAACCAGTGCCCATGCGAGCAGTGTCCATGCGAGCAGCGCGGAGCGAAGCATCACGTAGCGTTAGTTCACAGAGAGGAGGGCTAGGTTTGTTATCAGGTAAATAGGCTAATGTAGACAGAGAGCATGTATAATTTGTTAGGCATGAAAGGAAACCAAGGCATGGTTTTCATTACATTAAAGTTGAAACAAATATTAACTGACAGCTGTACTGTTTACACAGAAGAAAACTAGTAAGAATACGTGCTTTGATATGATGGCAAGGGGAGTGATTTTTTTCTGCAAGGCAACTTTAGGCAACTTAAACGGACAACTCGTGTGAAACTGTAACGGTTTGTCTTCTGAAATTCCGCAGGTAATTAATGACATGGATATTGT